CACCACCCGCACCCAATTCGGCACACCCCCTCACACGTTTCGTGGTCCCGTAGGGAGCTGCACCGAAGGCCCCAGTGGCGGCGCTCACATGCGTCCCCGCCACGCATCCAAGTACACCCCTCACGCGCTTCGTGGCTCCATAGGGAGCTCCACCGAAGGCCCCAGTAGCGGCGCTTACATGCGTCTCCGCCACCCATCCCGGCCCCCCCCCCGCAGCAACATCATATTTCTGGGACCCATAGGGAGCTCCACTGGAGGCCCCAGTGGCGGCCCTCACATGCGTTTCCGCCACCCATGTCGGCACGCCCCGCGCGTGTTTCATGTCCCCATAGGGAGCTTCGCCGAATGCCCCAGTGGCACCCATCTCGGCACACCCCTCACACGTTCCGTAGTCCTATGGGGAGTTCCATCGAAGATGAAACCCGCAGCTGCGGTACTGACAACTGCATATGTTGGGTTCTTCGCCAGGCTATTTTTTCCCCCCCGCGCGCGTTCCCGAGACCGAACCCGAACCCGAACCCCTACACCGTTCACGCCCTCCTGAGGCGGAACAAGAACCCAGGACAACCTTCCTCCTCCTCCTCCTACTCCTCCTCCTCCTCCCCCTCCTCCTCTCCTCCTCCTCCTACTACTAACTACTACTACTACTACTACTACTACTACTAACTACTAACTACTACTACGACACTAACTACTACTTTTATTACTATTACATTACTACTACTACTACTACTACAAAAAGAAAAAAAAAAAAGAAACTACTACTACTACTAAAACTACTAACTACTACTACGTACTACCACTACGACTACTAACTACTACGAGTGCTAGTACTAGTATAGTAGTATAGTAGTAGTAGTAGTAGTAGTAGTATCGTAGTAGTAGTAGTAGTAGTACAGTAGTACTACTACTATTACTAGTACTCTACTACTACACTACACTAAACTACTACTACCTACTAGTATACTACTACTACTACTTACTACTAGTACTACTACTACTACTACTAACTGCTACTCTGAAGACGACGACGACTACTACTACGACTGCTAGTAAGTAGTATTTAGTAGTAGTAGTAGTATAGTAGTAGTAAAGTAGTAGTATAAGTAGTAGTAGTAGTAGGTAAAGTACTATTAGTTGTAGTAGTAGTGTATTAGTCGTAGTAGTAGTAGTGTAGTAGTAGTCGTAAGTCCCCGTAGTCGTAGTCGTAGTAGTAGTAAGTAGTAGTAGGTAGACTAGAGTATGTAGTAGTAGTAGTAGTAGTAGTGAGTAGTAGTAGTACTAGTAGTAGTAGTAGTGAAGTAGTAGTAGTAGTAGGTCGTGCGTAAGTCGTCCGTCGTAGTCTTCGTCGTAGTAGTAGTAGTAGTAGTAGTAGTAGTATATAGTAGTAGTAGCAGTAGTACATAGTAGTAAGTAGTAGTAGTAGTAGTATGTAGTAGTACTAGTTAGTATAGTAGTCGTAGTAGTAGTAGTAGTAGTAGTAGTTGTAGTTGTAGTTGTAGTTGTAGTTGTAGCAGTAGTAGTAGTAGTAGTAGTAGTAGTAGTAGTACTAGTAATAGTAGTAGTAGTAGTAGTAGTAGTAGTAGTAGTAGTAGTAGTAGTAGTACAATTTCTACTACGACTACTTTTTCTATTTACTACTACTACTATTGCTACTATTATTACTATTGCCACTATTGCAAATCATAACATCAGTAGTGGTAAGAAGAAGCAGCTGCGCAGACATATACCTTCGGAGCTCCACGTGGATTTCGTGGATCGGCGATGGGCGCTTGGTTCCCCCAAAACGTGTGATGTTCGATGTTTTGTTATGGCAGCCAGTAGCAATAAAAAACGGTAGCCATAGCACATGTGTGGTGTTTTTCTTTTGGTGCCGCCTCTGGCGCGCTCCGCGCGTCAGGGAGGAGGATCCATCGCAGATCCAAGACATCCGCGCGGAACGTTGATCTTTTTTGTGGTCAGGATGGTTTTTTACATCTTCTGAGGACAGACCATCTACACCTGGGGCCGCGGTGGTCCTTACCACCTTGGGTAGGGTCATGTCGATCCGATCAATCCAATTCGAAATCCATTCGGGCCAGTCCGATCCGACTCGTGTCTGTTATTGCGACGATCCGATGCGGCCCGATGCTCGCGTGGCGTTGTTGTGCATCCTGGAGCGGCCGATCCGATTCGAATCCGACTCCTTGCCTTTGCGGCCCGACTCGCCGCATATTCCGATCCGATCCGGTTTTCCGACTCGATGCTGACTGATCTTGCCCTGGGGGAATCACCGGCTTCGACACCCATCGGTTTCAATTATTATTCTTAAGTCGGGCCTGTCCCAGTACAGGAGGAATATTCAGAAATAGTCAAAAAATAGTTTGGGGACGATCTTAGGATAATTTTTTCATCATTTTGGGGTATTTTTTGATTATCTTTTATTTTTCGCCCAGGTTCCGCCTGTAGGGGGACATGCCCGAACTAATACTATTCCCTCCTGGAGGTAAGAAACACGGCTGCCCCCGATGCGGCTGCCCGGCAGGATCCGGACTCCGGTGCAGACGCTCCTGGCGGAGCAGGGGTTTAGGGCGAAAGACTTGGCGGAGGTGGTGTTCGTCGGTGGCTCCAGGCGTGCTGCTTCTTGGGGTCTGGACACCCAGATCCCCGGCGATCTTATTTTTTCAATCCTGGCGCTTTTCTTCGATTTGGGCCTCGGGGGCGAAAACTCGGCCCTGGGGAAGCGGTCGGGGTTCTGGGGCCGCGCGTTGAAAGCATCATATCGTTGGATGCCCAGCTCTGGGACCATGTGCGAACCCTGCGCCTACGGGTCCCATCGACGCTGGGGTATCGGGCACCCCCGCAGGGGTTAACTTCGCTGCAAGCATCAACCTCTTGAACCCCAGTCGGTTTTTCAGAAATTTTACCTGCAGGGGTAGGGTTCACATGAGCGAAGTAGAAAAGCGAGGTCGCCTCCACCGACGTTGGCGCATAAGCTGTCCGCGCAAGGGAGTGTGTAAGCGCCCTCGTTGCCGATGTAGCGTGCCGCGCTGGCGGCCCGCGTAAGCCACCGCGTGAGCTCGCTACGTCATCTTGCGTAAGATCCGTTTCTGATCGTCGCTCACATGTGGCTGCTTTCCTTAGCCATTCTTGGCTCTCCGGTAGGCATCTCGCTGCTAGGTTGTAGGATTTGTCTCGTGAGTTTCCCGTTGCCGTGCCAGCGCGGGACATTCACGTTCGGCTTCCTGCGTGCCGCGTCAGGGCGCTTCGGCGGCTGCGGAGCGCAGTGGTACGATTAAGAAACATCCGCAGTATGCGCATTGGCTTGATGGTTTGCATCGATTGGGTGGCAGCATCAGGATATGGGAAGGCAATGTGACAGGAATCCGCGGGGGGGATACTTGGGTTAGGGAAGCCAGAGAAGGCTAAGAGCCCCCTCCCTCCAGGGTGCATTTCGATCCGATCGATCCGATTCGGTATCGATTCTGGCCAGCACGATCCGATTCGATTCCGACATTCCAACGATTGTATGTGGCCCGATGCTCGCGAGGCGTTGTTTTGCATCCTGGCGCAGCCAATGCGAGTCGATTTCATTCCGTGCCGATGCGGCCCGATTCGCTGCACATTCCGATCCGAACCGGTTTTTTCCGATTCGATGTTGGCGGATCTTTTCCTCTCCGCAGCACATTTGCTCGAGCTCGAGCTGGTGCGCGGTTCACTGCACGAGCTCGCCCAGTGCAGGTCGCGCACCGCGTGCGCTCGCAGCCTGCCAGGTGGGGCTTTGGAGCCGCGTCCATTTGGTGATGCTCCTCCCTTTGAGGCCAGCGTCGTGCTGCGGGGTGTGGGTGAGTGGCACCTTCCATCTTGCTGGCCGTGGCCACGCACCTCTCTGTTTCGAGGTTCGCGGGATGAGCTCCTATCCCGTCCCTTGCCTCCGGGGGCTCTTTCCTCAGGCGGCCAATTCATGCGCGCTTCGCTGCGCCTGCTGAGATGTTCATTTCAGGCGGGGGTCGCCCCTCGCCTGTGCACCGCAGCTGGAGCCCCCAGAAACTAAAAAATCATTACGGCGGCCGTCCTAGAGGCCCAGGTCTTCTCCAGTGCCGCCTCCTGAAACTCCCGGGCGTTGGTGTTAGCGTGTGGCCACGGATCAGCCGCAGCATCGCTGTTCTGCAGCTGCCCTCGTGCTCCCCATCCAAGACACCCGCGCCTTCGCGTGGGGCACGCCTCAGATCCCGAGAGGAGGGCCAGGCCCGCGCTGTGCAGCCTCACTTTCGGCAGCGCGGAGAGGTCGAATAATCGAAGAGTGTGACCGAGGAGGATCGAGGATCGGAGAGTGCAGGGGTCGATGATCGGTGAAGGAGGAGGAGGACGGCCACAGCTTCTTGAGGGATCTCTTGGGGCTCTTCCTCCCCTCTCCTGCCATCCTGTCCCTTCTCCCTCTCTTCGCCCCCCACCGCCATCCAACCACCCTACTCTCCTCCTCCTCCTCCTCCTCCTCCTCCTCCTCCTCCTCCATCTCTTCCCCATCGTATTCCCCTCTCTCCGCCTCCCCATCCTGACCACCTGCCGCGTCGGAGGCGGAGGGGGAGGCCCAATGGAGGAAGGGGGGGGGGTCATGTTTGATGCAGGGGAGGACTTGGGAGCCGTGGAGAGGATGGAGGGTCGGGGGACGAGGTGGAGAGGGACGAGAGCGTCTGGCCGCTTCGCCACTCCTGTGAACATGCAGCGTACTTATGCGGTGAAAGAGCCTCTGCAGCCGCATGCCGATGTTTCATGACGTGGCTCGCGAGCTCACCGGCTTCAAGCCCGTGAACAAATCCGTCAACGTGGAGGACGTAGTGGGTCTTGGGATATTGCGCCGGGATTGCCTAATTACACGATGCTTGTTGTTTGTTTCAGAGGCGACGAGAAGGGGCGAATAGCCCAGGGGAGAGCACTGCATGTGTCCAGGGGCGCCGATCATCTATGTCTTCGACAAGGCTCCCGGGCGAATGTGTGTAATGCCCGCCCCTGGGCTATTCGCCCCCTGTCGTCGCCGCCGATTGTTTCATTTTTCACCCCGACGCGAGCTTTGCTTTGTGTGCAACCTGGGTCACCCACGGGGGAGGAGGAGGAGGAGGAGGAGGAGGAGGAGGAGGAGGGGGAAGGAGGGAGGGGGAGGAGGAAGAGGGGGAGGATGAGGAGGAATGAGGAGAGGATGAGGATGGAGGAGGAGGAGGAGGAGGAGGGAGAGGAGGAGGAGGGAGGAGGAGAGGAGGAGGGGAGGAGGGCCGCAAGGTGGGGTGGTGTCGTTTGCTGCTGGGTGAGCCACCGCGCCGCCCGCCACGGGGGAGGTCTCCCTCCTCCTCCTCCTCCTCCTCCTCCTCCTCCTCCTCCTCCTCCTCCTCCTCCTCCTCCATGTTGCGCTAAGGCCCATCGGGCGCCGTAGCGCATACCACGCAAAAGCCCGCGCCAGATTTCCTGGCATACGCTAAGCCCCGTGGGGCCCCAAGTGGGGTGGTGTCGTTTGTTTTCTGGTCCAGTGGCGCGAGAGCGCGAAGAGACTCGCACGTCGCGCGCTGCAGGCCGCGACGCGCGGAGTGCAGAGGCCTGGGCAGCACCAGGCGCGCGCTGAGCTCACAGCCTGGCGGCACGCGAGGGGCAGGGCCCGGCGCCTCGTGGCCGCATCGGGGAATCGTGGTGGAGTGCTCGGTGGCAGCTGGTGGCTCGAGGCCCGCCGCCGTGCCCTGAGCTCATGCGGAGTGGGAGAGGCTGGCCAGTGTCCGAGGCAGGAATGTATGCATAACCACCGCCTGGAGGATCAATTTTCGTGGACCTTGGCAGGCGGTGGATATAGATATATTCGGGCCCCCGGGGGCCAACATATATCCATATCATTTTTTTTGTTGTTGCGTATTGTTTGTTCGTTCTTGGTTTCGTTTTTGCGCCCTGCGCTGGGCTCGCGTTTGGATCCTCCTCGTTCGTTGCAACCGTTGGCCTATTTGTCGCTCGCTTCTGCGCGTCGCGTTCTCGAGGGGGACGTCTAAATTACTTATGCGGAGTGGGGGACGCTGGCCAGTGCAGTCACGCAGATCCCGCGGTGGTCGGGCGGCAGCGTGAGTTCGCCACGTGATCTCTGCAATTCCGCCCCGGCTTCCTGCTCTCCCCCTTCCCGGAGGGAGAACGATGGCGGAAGAGGGGGTGGGTGGGTGGGAGGATGGAGGCAGGGGTGGCTGAGGAGGGGAGGGACGGGGAGGAATTGACGGGGAGGGAGGGGAGGGAGGGCGGGTGAGGGTCAACGTTAGGGGTGAAAGGCTCAGAGGCGATGCATTGACCCCCAGTCGCCCACTGATCGCCGACAGGGGTCCGATGGCCCACCCCGCCCAGTACCGTGCGGATTCGCTATCGGGAGCCTATCGCCGATCTAACGTCGATGTACCGCCGATCCCAGGTCGATGTTCCCCCCCCCCCTAAGCCTTCCTTATCGTTGCCTCTCAGCCAAGGGCAACTCTAGGGGTGGGTGGGCTGGGGGGGTGCTTCAGTAGCATGTCATGGGAGCCTTGTGCATACCCTTGCAGTTCCATCGTTAGAGTGCGTTCGCGTCAAATAGCGTCTGGTAATCGATGAGATGCGCCGATTAGACGTCGATGAGCGTCGATTTAGCGTCGATTTAGCGTTGATTTGTCGCCGACTCCAGGTCAATACTTTCCCTCCCGAGCCTCTCCCCCTAACAACAAAGCAGAGAGGAGGGGCCCGCCCTGCAGGCATCGGAAAAGCGATGCCTCGTCTCGAGGCGTGGACCCCCCCCCCCCCCCGCGGGAGCCTGCCGTGGATGGAAGATCTTGCACCGCCCGCTCGACCAGTCGGCCACGCGCAGAGGGGGGTACTGGAGACCCATGCCAAGAATCACCCTGCTTGCCTCCAGGGTGCCCTGTGTTTCTTGGGTTTTGATGGTTCTGAGATGGAAGCCGTGACGTTCCCACACCACAAATCAATGGACGTCCTGGGGTCTCAGGGTTTGGTTTCTTGTGGAAGGTTCCTTTGTGGACTGGCCTCCACTGCAGGGTAAGGGGGGAAGGCTTCTTAGAAGCCCCGCTGCTTTGAAGGCGCGGGCCTTGTCTGCAGAAGCAGGGCTGGTGCCTTCTCAGAAGCAGCCTCCTTTGGGAAGCCTTCCACCCTCCCCTTTACCCCCTTGTGCGCTCCGCCAAGCGCCCCACTGCCCCCGATTCAATGTTGGTTGGCATTGCCAGCGGGGTGCAGGGTTTCGGCCAGTCGACAGATCGACACATCGCGGCGCAGTCCGCCAACCTGTTGAGTTGGGGGCGCGGGGGGGATCTCACAAAAATCAGCATAAGAGGTGCAGGGTTTTGTCCCTCAACCGCTCCACCTCTCCCATCTCCTACACGCTGGTCGTTAAAGTAGGTATTTCTGGATTCCCTGATCCCAATATGCGTCTAGCGCCTTCCTACTTCAAGACTCGGCATGGCTTTGATGTATTTTGCTTCTTTCTGGGAAGACTTGGACTCAATCCACTTTAGCCGCCTTCCTACTTCATGTTTTTGATACCCGTTTCTTCTGACCGACGTGTACAAGAGGTGCGCCACACGACCCGATGGAATTGAACCTTGAACGATTGGGGCCGCGATGGGTTCAAGGTTGAACGATCGTCGCGGTGTCGAAAATCTTTGCGCGCGCCGACGCCGCGCGAGCCTCCCGTAAGAGGTGCAGGATTTAGTCCCTCAACCGCTCCACCTCTCCCATGCCCTACTTCGCCTCCTCCCTGCCTATCCCTCCCTTTCGCTTTCCGCCAGCCCGTCCTCCGAGGGGGCACGTTACACGCCAGTCGTTGAAAGTCGGTATTTTTGGATACCCAAGCCCCAATCTAGTTTACCCGCCTTCCTGCTTCAAGAGTCGAGCGGTTTTCCCTCTTGACTCCTCTTCGGGCGGAAGCCCAATCTATTTCAGCGCCTTCTTACTTCATGTTTCTACCCACTTCTTCCGACCGACGCGTAAGGGTGGACTGGCTCAGAGTGGAACCATCGATTCGAACTCGGCGATTCACTGCCTGTAGCTCGGAGGCCTCTTCCCTGGGACCAGCCTTTCCCCCCAACCCCCTTGAGCCGTTTCTTGGCGGTCCCCCTTGGGCCCACGAGGGGTCCGTCCCCGAGGCCGGAGACGGTGCGCGAAAGCATGCAGCCGTGGTCTTCTTCACGGCTCCAGAGGTCGCTGCCGACGCGGCAGCGATTCCGCCGCGGGCGATCTAGTCTGCACGCAGCCAGTGGCCCAGAATCTACCAAAAGGTGCCAGATTTTGGCACCGTCCCCAAGTGGTTTCCCAGACACCTTTTCCTGGCAATGGCAACGATGCGTTCGAAGAAGAAGCGTGCACCAGCTAGAACTACTAGCCGGGCTCGGAGTCCAACTGATTTCCACTTCAGGGGGTGAACCTTGTAGAATATGCTGGACTGTGGACTCCGATGGGCACCTCTTTTCCCCCAGGACCAGCCCCGCCCCTCCCCCCGAGCCGTTTCTGGGCGGTCCCCGGGCTCTATGCGGGGGCTCGTCCCCGAGGCCGGAGGCGGCGCACACGAGCATTCCGCCGTGGCCTTCTTCGCGACGCGAGGGGGTGCTTTGCATCTTCGGGGGACCTTCCGGCTGCGAGCTGGGGGGAGGGAGTGAGCGGGGGCGGGCCCTCTCACAAGGCTCGGAAGGCCTCTGGCCTTCTGAGAGGTTTTCGCAGCTTTCTACGAAGACGCAGACGGCATCTGAGAGTGACCGGGTCTTCTGAGAATGCCCCCCCTCTCAATTCCCCCCATGGGCTCGCCGCCGACTTTGGCTGTCCTGCATGTGTCAGTCTTTACTTGTACTCCGACGTGGCTTCGATGCGAAGCCAGCGAGGATCCGACACGGATTCGACACGGATTCGGCACGGGCTCGACACGGATGCGACATGGACGGCAGGCGCGCTGGGGCAGACGAGGTCTCCCCAAGATGCAGCATGGGAGATGGCACAGCGGGTTCGTGTCGTGCCGACGCGGCAGCGATACCACCGCGGGCCTTTCCAGCCTGCACGCCGTCAGTGGCCCAGGATCGGGCAACGTGGAGCGATCCGGCGATCGAAGCGCCGCCGATCGTTCGATGTTGGACGACCCGCACGGTTCAGAAACCAGCGCCAGTGTCGTCACTGCATGAGCCTGCCGCGCATCGAGGGAGAAAACGCGGCATGAACATGAACTTTCGCAGCTCCGCGCGGACCTCCGAGAAATCGTGCTGGTGGGTTTTTTGGCTGCTCTTCAGACCGCGGGGGCTGCCCGGAGGGTCCTCCGCGGGAGGCCTCCGCGGAGACTCCCGCGGCCCCTGGGAGCCTCTAATTACGGGAGGGGCATTGAATTCGGGTTGACCCCAAAGGGGGTTCAGCGACACGGGGGTGGTGCAATAGATTTGTGGGGTTGCAATACATTTGGGGTGTGCAATACATTCTGGGGCGCAAATGTACTGCTGGATTTTCGCGTGCAGTACCTTACTTGCAACACAATGCAATGCAATTCTCTGGCGCAATACATTTGCAATACAATTGCCCCAAATCTATTGCACCACCCCCTCTCAGCTGGACCCCCTTTTGGGTCACCCAAAGCGGGGACTCCCGCGGCCTCTGGGAGCCTCTACGGGAGGGGCATCTGGGGGCTCCTGGCCCGAGGGCGCCAGCACGGACCTCTTCCACGCCGATCTGGGGCCCGGGATCGCGGAGCGCGCCAGGGAGGGGGTCCAGCGCCGATCCAAGGATCCGCGTGGATCTCAGAGAAGTCGTGTTAAGTCGGGCGTGTCCCTCTACTGGATGAAAATTCAAGAGTAGCCAAGAAATAGTCTGGGGACGATGTTTTGATTATTTTTGACTATTTTGGAATATGTTTCGACTGTTTTTGATTTGTCGTCCAAAGTCCGCCTGTAGGGGGACATGCCCGACCTAAAAATCGTGCTTTGCTTCTCTGCGTATGAGAAGGGAGGGCTCGAGGAGAAGGCTGCCGAAGGGCGATGAGGGGACGATGGCGGGTGGTGGGGGGGGGGGGGCACCCGGGGTTCCCCCGTCCTCGGCGCCGCCCTTTCGCAGGAGGTGGTCGCCGTGGGCGCGGCGGTGCAGGCTTCGATGCTGATCGGGGAGACGAGGGACCGCGCCGGCCTCGAGGGCATCGGATCGCGGCAAGAGACCGCGCGGGCAGGAGGGAACGTTGAGAACCTCAGCCCCGTCTGCGGCTCCCTTGGCAGGGGCCGCAAGGTTGGCGCATGATGCTCAGCAGAACATGTTTTACAGTATTTGTATGACGCCCTGCCCGGCGGCGCAAACAGCATCTCGGCCTCGACCAACCACCCAGGCCAGAGACTCAGCAGGTGTGAGCACCCGTGGTAACAACCTGACTGTTGTCAGCCACGCGCAGGGGGGGGAGGGGGGAGGGCTTCTCAGAAGCACCCCTGCTTCTTAGCAGGCGCGGGCCTTCTCTATAGATGTAAGGCCGGCGCCTTCTAAGAAGCAGCCTCCTTCTGAGAAGCCCTCCCCGCTCCTTCCCCCCCCCTTGTGCGCGCCGCCAGTGTTCGACCCAGACTGTTCAGGCCCAGAGGGGGAGGAGGAGGACCGAGAGCAGATCTCGTGGCGCCGCCCGTCGAGGAGACGCAAGCATGGGCTAGCGGCGCGCGGGCCAGCGACGGGCCCCGCGTCCGTGCAGGATCGCCGGGCTCCGTCGCCCAACCGGGCGGCGCTGGCCTCACGTCTCGTGGGGTGCCGGCCCCCGAGGCGCGGGTCCGGCGCCCGCGCACCAGATCCGCGAATCCCTGGTCAGTCCAGGTTAGCGTCAAGTCGGGCACGTCCCTCCACAAGAGGAGCATTCAAGAATAACCAACAAGCAGTATGGGGACGTTTAGCCCTGCTGGTTCCTCCAGGCGCGCTCGTCGGCTGCGGCCCGCCAACCTCGGGGGCTCGTAGAGGGAGGGTTATCCCAAGATGGGGGCTGGGGAACGGGCCCAGCCGGATGCTCCCGTTTAACGCGCTTCCTTAGTCCAGGGGCCGTCAGTAGCGATTTTTCTTCCAATCCCACCTTTGCCTCTAGCCCACCTTTGTGCCCCCCCCCCGTGGTGCTGCGTGCGCGGCTGCCGAGCAAGAAGACGAGGGCCCAGGTCCCGCCTCGCCTCGTTGAGCAAGAGCACGATGGAAGGTTTTCTGCGGTTGCTGCTTCTCCTCCTCCTCCTCCTCCTCCTCCTCCTCCTCCTCCTCCTCCTCCCCTTCCCCTAATCAGTCGGCGCAGAGTTTCGTCCACCTCTGCCTGTGCTTGCTTGAACTCGACTTTTTCCCCACGCGCCGGGTGTCGTGTGGCTCGTGAGTGAAGCCACGGGCGCCCGCTACTTTTAATTCGCCTGTGCCCGGATCGGCCGCCCCCTCGCGGTCGTACAGGCATGACCTTGACCCTTTGTGGCCTCCGTGTGGGCCCGTTCTGGGGCCTCAGGGGCAGCCCAGGAACGACTCGGGATGAAGAGCAGGTCCAGAGGAGGGGGTCGAGTTTTTCGATCAAGGAAGCGCAAAGACGGATGAAGGCGGTTGGATCAGCGGCGGGTGTCGTTTCCACAAAGTCGATGCGCTCCGTCGCCAGACCGGGCGGTACTGGCCGCCTGCTGCGGCGGGGGGGGCCTTCCCTGGGCTGGGTTGGCGTGGGCCTGATTCAAGGGGGTCCGCGCGGTGAGAAAGGTCACGACGCCAGGGGTCTGGGGAGGTGCATCGGCGCCACCCAAACATATTCATACTATGTGTGCGTCGCCCCCTCAGGGGCGAGGCGCATACCGAGAAATCTAATAGTATATGCTTCGTGGCGGGCGCTTTCTGGCCACATCGCTCGGGAACGATCTATTACAAGATGGGCATACTACGTGTTCGGCTCGGACGCGCGCCTCCGAGGAGGACATATAGTTCTCCTGTCCCTCTACAGGAGAAAGATTCAAACATAGTAGAAAAATAGTCTGGGGACGATTTTTCCAATTATTTTCGCGAATCTGGAGTATTTTCTGAATACCTTTTAAAACAATTTTTTCGTCCACAATCCCCCTGTAGGGGGACATGCCCGACCTAAATATAGTACTAGTATGTCTCTGTGCGTCCCAGGAGGTGGCGACGGAGCAGAACGGGGCGGCGGTGTGTCAGCGGGAAGTCGACGTTGCGAGGTCTTTTCGGTGCTCTCCGTGGGCCTGCTGGGGTCGGGGTCCTCCCCGGCGGCTCCCCGCCGACGTCCCCAGCGGAGACCGCGCAGAGGTCCCTCGGAGTCCTCCTCCTCCGGAGGAGGAAGCGGAAGTGGGTGACGAGGATCAGGAGGAGGCGGCCATGGTTGCGGCGGCGGCGGCGGTGGCGACAGGCGCCACGTCGGCCGCGAGCCCTTGGCTGGCTGGTCGCGAGTGCCCCCCTTGCGGCTGAGGACATCATGCTCTTCGACGTCACGCCCCTGACCTTAGGAGACGTTTCCTCACCCTCTGTGGTTGTTATGTCTATTCCAGCCTCTGCTTCTGCCTCGCCGCTCTCTTCGTCCCTCGTCGCAGGGCCCGTGAGCACTGTGGCACGCCTGGAGCGCCGCCCCGAGCGAGTGCGAGAGAAAAGGGAACGCAGCCTTTTTCGCTGTACTCCCGCTCTATCCATATCCCTGTGTTTACACTGCTGTGAATTTCAACATTGTTGTTGCTGCTGTTGATGATGGTGATGAGGATGATCATGATGATGATAATGATGATGGTGGTGGTGGTGATGATGCTGGTGATAATGATGGTGATGACGATGATGATGCTGATGATGCTGCAGATGATGGTGCTGATGATGCTGATGATAATTATGCTGCTGATGATGGTGATGATGATGACGGTGATGGTGCTGATGATGATGGTGATGATGATGCTGATGCTGCTGAGGATGATGCTGATGATGGTTGGTGGTGATGATGGTGATCATGATGATGCTGTGGATGAGGATGATGCTGATGCTGATGCTGATGATGATGCTGATGCTGCTGCTGATGATGATGGTGATGGTGATAATGCTGATGATGATGATTTTGATGCTGATAATGATGATGCTGCTGATGCTGAGGCTGATGCTGCTGCTGCTGATGAGTCTGCTGCTGATGATGATGCTGATGATGATTATGATGATGATGATGGTGATGATGCTGATGATGATGATACTGCTGATGCTGATGATGGTTATGCTGATGATGATGATTTTGATGATGATGATGACGATGATGATGTTGAGGATGATGATGGTGATGATGATGCTGCTGCTGCTGAAGATGATGATGACCAGGATGATGATGATGATGATGATGATGACGATGATGATGATGATGCTGCTGATGATGATGATGATGATCATGATGATGATGGTGATGATGCTGATGATGATGAGGATGATGATGATTATGATGATGATGATGATGCTGATGATGATGATGATGATGATGAGGAGGAGGAGGAGGAGGAGGAGGAGATTGATGATGATGTGATATGAAGAAGAGGAGGAGAGTAGGAGGAGGAGCACTAATAGTAGGAGAGTTGGCTAGCGAGGGGGGTAGTAGTGAACATATCATGATGGTGATGGTGAGGAGGAGGATGAGGACGAGAATGGTGGATCTGAGGGGGAGGATGATGATGATGATGATGATGATGAATGATGTGATGATGATGATGATGATGATGAGATGATGATGATGAGGAGGAGGAGGAGGAGGAGGAGGAGGAGGAGGAGGAGGAGGAGGAGGAGGGGGAGTAGGGGGAGGAGGAGGAGGAGGAGGAGGAGAGAGAGGAGGAGAAGAATAAGAAGAAGAGGAGGGGAGGAATAATATGGGAGCCTTCACATGTGGCACCTTTCGTTTGTACTTCTCGCGGCACCCTCATGGACCGCATTTGGATTGTTTTGGGACTGTCTTGGGCTCATGTTGGGCAGTCTTGGGAGTCCCTTGGGATTCTCTGGGGCCGTCTTGGGACCCTCTTTTTCCCGTCTTGGGGCTATCTTTGAGCTTTCGTTGCCGTAGCGGGGATATCTTGGGGCCGCCGGTCCTTCCAGGGAGACTCGGAGGGAGGGGGAGGGGGGCGGCGCACGCGGATGTCTGCTAGTAGGGTGGGGGCAGAAGATCACAGACAGCGCTTGGCATTCTACCACGCCTCAGCGTGCCAGGGGGCACGATGGCGGATCAAGAGCATGCTCGAGTATGTGTGCGACCCGAGCGAGACGCACTCGGCGTATCCACATGCCGTTGGCACAACCGATGCTAGCGATGATGCCATTTGGTAGGTGGGACCCGAGGTTTCGACATTCGCCCGACCAGGGCGACAGTGGCGCCTGTGGCCCCCCTCCCCTTCATGCTGTCAACGCGCAAACTGAGGACGCGCGCCTTTTCTAGGGTAAACTTGTGTCCTTGCCTCTGCGGCCCGTCCATCGCTGTTTCCACTGGTCAACCTCTCAGGGAACATGTGGGGCGGCCGCCCACAAAATCATAATTTCGGCCTCCAAGGGTCTTGCGTCCTTGCCACCTGTCCTTATTACACGTTTTCATTTTATTCCTTCTTCCCCTCTTCCCCCTCGCGGGCAGGAGAGGGAGAGGGTTGCGGTGGAGTTCCTGTGGCTGGTAGGGCGCCCCCAGCTGTCTGCGCGTGGGGTCACGCGGTCTTTTGAATTACGGGATCGGCTTCCCCGCTCTCTTGCTGCAGGTCAGGCGTAAGACCACGGTCGCCAGCACAGGAGTCGAGTCCCGCTTTCGACGGCCGAAGTTCCAGTTGCATCCTTGCTCGTCATGCGAGCGAACGGCCACGACGGACCCCAGGCAGCTAGTGCGCGTTTACCCCCCTCCCACAGCCAAAGGTATTGAGAACCCTCAGCGCATCAGGAAAGGCCTCTCTCCTAGCTTTTGAGGTCCGTCCAGCGTAAGCCAGGAAGTCAGGTTATCTGAAGTCCGCCGCTTCAGCTGTCTGAAGCCTGTTGCTGGTGGCGCCGAGACTGAGCTGTGGCCTTCCAGATGGGGGGGTGCGAATAGGGTAGGAGATGACAGGTTGGAGTTCGGACCCGTCCCAGACCTGCTGTGAGAGAGTGCGACGTTCTCCTCCCTGTAACGAGGCGGGCGGGGGGAGGAGGGGGACCTGCAGCTCATACGGATTCTTCTCGTGCGTGCGCAACAGTTGCGCCAATTGACTCTCTCCTCCTTGGTCTGCCTTGGTGTCCGTGGCGCCACCTGGCAGTCCTGCACTCTCTGCCGTTCTTTGGTCTGGCCGCGCCAATCTGAGGCTTGCCCACATTGGGCCTGTGTGGAAAGGATGCTCGATGGTGGTCTGCGCCTGCGCCCCCACCTGTGCGGTGTGGGTGCTGGCTCCTCCATCGCTTTCTTCTCCTCCTTCGCGTGGGACTGTGTGGTGAGAGCACTCCCCACGCCGCGCGGCGGATTGTCGTTGACGAGCCATACGCCTGTCGAGCTCGCCTTTGGTTGCAGCAGTGGGTTGCCTGTCTTCAGTCGGTGTGTTTGCCGCCACTGCCCTCAAGTGTGGTGCTGATTCTTCGCCTGCTTTATGGATTGGAGACCGCCGCTGCCTTATGTTTTGCAGTTGACCCTCTGTGAATACGAAGCCCACTCCTTGCTGTGCCAGTCATCTCGGCGTGCTATGAAAATGCGAAAGGTAGTGGCAAATTGCGAGTGGCGTAGACAATTACCCTCTCCTTATGGGCAGCGCGCAACACATTGGACGCATCTCGAGCCACGCGGTCCCTGCCGCTGGGGTCTTCGGCGGAGTTCTTGGCCACGAAGCGCGGGGCGGCGTGTGTTGAAAGTATGAGCGGACACGCCCGCGGGCGCCGCGGCCACTGGGGGCCTTCGGTGGAACTCCCTGGGCGGCCACGAAGAGTGCGAAGGGGTGTGCCTTGGGCGCGGTGACGCGTGCGGCCCTGATGCTGATGACGATGATGATGATGCTGATGATGATGGTGGTGGTGATGATGATGATGCTGATGATGATGATGATGATGCTGATGCTGATGAGGATGCTGATGCTGGCGATGCTGCTGCTGATGATGCTGCTGATGATGATGGTGATGCTGATGCTGACGATGACGATGATGATGGTGATGCTGATGCTGATGATGATTCTGCTGATGCTTATGATTATGGTGATGATGCTAATGCTGGTGATGCTGATGATGTTGATGATGCTGATGATGCTGATGCTTATGCTGATGAGGAAATATAGAGAGTGGAAGCAGGAGATGAGCAAGAGCGAGATATGGGGCATCGGGAGGAAGCGGAGCGCGGCGCTGCGGATTCAAAACGAGGACGCAGCATCACACGGATGGTTGGGGAACATTGGTCCCCGCGAAAGACCCACGCATATGCAGGCTCGAGTATCGCCAGGCAGGTGGGCGGCCCACAGACTGCTCTGTCTCCATTTGGGCGGCCCCGAGACCAGGCATGAAGGTGATTTCCACAGGGGAGGACATTGATATCGCCCTCTTCGCGGCTGGCTGCGCCTATTTGCTGCTCGGCGCGTGCGTGGCGCTCTGGCGGGGCAGTCGGTTTGCGTCGTCTGGCGCATTGGTGAAGGGGCTGCTGCAGCACGTGGTGGTGCCACTGAGGCAGGCTCGAGGAAAGCTCCAGCAGGGCGGAGAGCACAAGGACATGAACTCGGTCGTGCAGCAGGCGGACGGGGAGTTCCATAGGAGAAAGCTGGAACATACCATCAAAGGGCTGCCATTGGCGCAGTGTATCGGCATGATCATCATCCTGGCTCTGTGGTTCGGGGGCACCGTTCCCACGTCGTTCGCACAGAATTTCAGCTCACTCGCAATGGCCACAATGGTAATGGTCATCTGGATCGCACCCTCCTTAGTCACAGCACGTTCTGCCGACTGGCTATACTCATTCATGATGGCTTTCTCGAGCGTCAACATGTCGCCTATCGCTGTTCCTGCAGATGCAGTCTTGTCCTACGCCCTCGGCACCTGGGTCGTTTCTCTTACAATTAGCTACCTACACTTGAAACCATGGCTGAATGCGTTCTGGATTGCCATCATCAACGCGATGGCTTGCCTCACTCTTGTCGTCGGCCAGCGCAGCGGTGGCCCTTGTGCCAACTCGCATGCTGTCAAGGTGGCTGCGCAACTCTCGCTAGTCTCTTTCGTCAGCGTGCTGTGTCTGATCTTCGTCGATTGGCTGCTGAAACAGTTGACGCGGCTTGAGCTCGAAGCGCAATCTTCCCGCAGCGCGCTGGCCGCTGCCCAGTCCGTGCTGCGGAGCGTCTGCGATGTGGTCGTGGTGGTGGACGACGAGCTGCGGCTCGAGGAGGACTCGGCGGAATTGCGCAACATGCTGCTTCTCAACCAGACCCGGCAGCTGCAGCAGGAGGATTTGCGCGGCTTCCTCGCATCCGCCGAGGACTGCGCCAAGTTCTCCGAGCAGGTGCGGCACGCCACATTCTCTGGACAGAACGGGGGAGAGCCGTTACACCTGAGCATCGCCTTCCACGTGTCCATGAAGGACAGCGCTGGGATCACGCTGGAGGTTGAGGTCTTCGTGGTGCAGTTCCTGAGCAGGGCGGGGAAAGATGCGTACCTGGTGGGAATCCGCGAGCAGTCCGACTCGTTTGCCCCGTCGGAGCTCCGCAGGTCACAGGGCGGACCAGGCAGCTTTGGACGAGAGCCGAGGCGATGTTCCAGCCCTCACGCACCGGCGCCTTCGTTCACAAGTGGCGCGCCGTGGCATCAGGTTCAGAGGAGGAACAGGTACCCAGACCGCTACCCTTGGAGGCCCTCGTCGTCACCGCTGGATTCGCCTCGAAATCCTGGTCAGAACCCACCCGGGGACAGGTCCAGGGAGCAGCGGTATCAGTACCTTTTGGTTTCCCCACTGGTGGCTGAGGGGGACGCTGCATCCAGCTCGTCCTCTTCTTCTGAGCTCCTCATGGAAGACAAGACCAGCGCCTGGATTGATCTGCTCAGCGATGGATGGAGCATCTTGGACGCCACCGACACGTTCAAGATGTGCATGGGGCTCGCGGAGGACGAGCTCGAGCTCCTCCCGCTAGTGAGGAGCGACCAGCGTGAGAGGCTCATCGATTTTGCTCAGACGGCCCACTTTGATTCCACGGACCATGCCGCTCCTGCCATTCTCCATGAGCCAATCTTTCTCCGCACGGCGCATATGCGCCGCCTGAAGCTCTGTGTTTGTGCGACCCTGCACTTGGACTGGCTTCGTCCTCCCTGCCCGACGCAGCAGGCTGCGGAGGTGCTTCGCATAAGTCTCGAGGATATCAAATGCTTGCGCGGCAAACGTTGGGGTAAAGCGAGACGCGCCGAGACGAGAGACTGGCCTCAGCTGGTTGCGGCGAGGCGCGAGATGAGTGATTGTCGCGCCATGCGATTCCCTTAGCGATTTCGCCCTACTTGCCAGGGCATTGCACCGCGGTCAGCCTCGCGCGCAGATTGGCAAGTCACAAGACTTCCAGAAGTTCTGCCCCGCCAGTAGTTCTCAGACAGGATGCGCAGGTCCCCCACCAACTTCGTTCCCACCAACTTCCGTTCCGTTCCCCCACCAACTTCCGTTCCCGTAAGGCATTCAGGAGGGCAAAACACACAGACACAATTAATCGTCGATTCCCAAGAAAATATTGGAAAATATTGGAAGCGGGGGGAAGACGAAAAACCATATCATATGCGGACATGTGTGACATCCTGGGATTTGTGTCCATTCATTTGTGTGTCCCTGGGCCCCTTTAGAAAGTGACCTTCTCCAACCTACGGCGCGGCGTGGCCTAACTAGAGCGGCAGCCTTGCACAACGGAACTACCCGTGAACTCTTTCTCCGGCCACGGCACAGCACAACGCGTCACTGCAAGGCGCGCCCGCATGGCAGAAGCACGGTGCTGTTCCTCTGACACGCGGCGCGCTACGGCACGACCCAATGGAAGCATGGGCATCTCTTTTCAACCCGCGGCGCACGACGAGGCACGGCCTCTTTCGATTCTGGCACGGGACGGCTCGCCACGACACGCACGTGAACTGCGTGAACTTACACTTTTGGTGGTCCGCGCAGATTTCTTGGATCTGCGCTGGGACCCCCTGGCGGCGCCTGCTGGCGTCGCCCATGGCGCGCTCCGCGCGCCAGGGAGGGGGGTCCAGCTCAGATCCAAGAACCCTGCGCGGACTGTCAAACGTTTATAGTGGAGGCGCATGCCAAGGAACACCCTGCTTGCCTCCAGGGTGCCCTGGGTTTCTTGGGTTTCGATGGTTTTGCTGTAGAAGGCGCGATGCTCCCGCACCAGAATCAATGGACGTCCTGGGGTCTCAGGGTTGGGTTTCTTGTGGAAGGTTTCTTGTGATCGAGCCCCAATTCCCCACATGTTTCGTGGGGTTCAGGTTTTCTTCCCTGCCGCGGCGCACCCGCGTCTCCTCACACCTCCCCTCCTCTCTCTTCCTTCCTCCCCTTACCCGCGCTCAACACGTGCATGCACACACTCGCGCACACAAGACGCATGTTCACTGCATCATACACCCAACACGTATGCACAACATACTGGGCACCCACGTGAGACACACGTTCCGATACGGCCGCACACGCATCATACACATACACAGGACATGGCATGCCATATTCAAGACGTGCGTGTAGGATTCGCAGTGGATGGCAGGAGGCTCTATGCAGGCCATGGCGCAGGGCACGGCAGGCGTGGCACTTTGTCGTCACCAGAGGGGGTGCGCAGCACATGCGCGACAACAAGAGGCGTTGCACTTTCTCGACACCACAGGGGGTGCGCTGGGGGCGGGCTCCCTATCCGTTTCGGTCTCGCAAAGCGTGGCAGCCGTGGCACTTCCTCGACACCACAGGGGGTGCGCTGGGCGTGGTCTCCCTATCCGTTTCGGTCTCGCAAAGCGTGGCAGGCGTGCCACTTCCTCGACATTTCAGGGGGTGCGCTGGGGGTGGTCTCCCTATCCGTTTCGGTCTCGCAAAGCGTGGCAGGCGTGGCACGTCCTTGACACCACAGGGGGTGCGCTGGGCGTGGTCTCCCTATCCGTTTCGGGCTCGCAAAGCGTGGCAGGCGTGGCACTTTCTCGACACCACAGGGGGTGCGCCGGGGGTGGTCTCCCTATCCATTTCGGGCTCGCAGAGCGTGGTAGGCGTGGCACTTCCTCGACACCACAGGGGGTGCGCTGGGGGTGGTCTCCCTATCCGTTTCGGGTTCGCAAAGCGTGGCAGGCGTGGCACTTCCTCGACATCTCAGGGGGGTGCGCTGGGGGTGGTCTCCCTGTCCGTTTCGGGCTCGCAAAGCGTGGCAGGCGTGGCACTTCCTCGATCAGGGGGGTGCGCCGGGGGTGGTCTCCCTATCCGTTTCGGTCTTGCAAAGTGTGGCAGGCGTGGCACTTCCTCGACACCACAGGGGCTGCGCTGGGGGTGGTCTCCTTATCCGTTTCGGGCTCGCAAAGCGTGGCAGGCGTGGCACGTCCTCGACATCTCAGGGGGTGCGCTGGGCGTGGTCTCCCTATCCGTTTCGGGCTCGCAAAGCGTGGCAGGCGTGCCACTTCCTCGACACCACAGAGGGTGCGCTGGGGGTGGTTGCCCTATCCGTTTCGGGCTCGCAAAGCGCGGCAGGCGTGGCAGTCCTTCTACACCACAGGGGCTGCGCTGGGGGTGGTCTCCCTATCCGTTTCGGGCTCGCAAAGCGCGACAGGCGTGCCACTTCTTCGACACCACAGGGGGTGCGCCGGGGGTGGTCTCCCTATCCGTATCGGTCTTGCAAAGCGTGGCAGGCGTGGCACTTCCTCGACTCTACAGGGGGTGCGCTGGGGGTGGTCTCCCTATCCGTTTCGGGTTCGCAAAGCGTGGCAGGCGTGGCACTTATTCGATACCATAGGGGGTGCGCTGGGGGTGGTTGCTCTATCCGTTTCGGGCTCGTTTTCCGCGGCAGGCGTGGCAGTCCTTCGACACCACAGGGGCTGCGCTGGGGATGGTCTCCCTATCCGTTTCGGGCTCGCAAAGCGCGGCAGGCGTGGCACTTCCTCGACACCACACGGGGTGCGCCGGGGGTGGTCTCCCTATCCATTTCGGTCTCGCAAAGCGTGGCAGGCGTGCCACTTCCTCGACACCACAGGGGGTGCGCTGGGGGTGGTCTCCCTATCCGTATCGGTCTCGCAAAGCGTGGCAGGCGTGGCACTTCCTCGTCTCTACAGGGGGTGCGCTGGAGGTGGTCTCCCTATCCGTTTCGGGCTCGCAAAGCGTGGCAGGCTTGGCACTTCCTCGACATCTCAGGGGGTGCGCTGGGGGTGGTCTCCCTATCCGTTTCGGGCTTGTAAAGCGTGGCAGGAGTGGCACTCTTCGACACCATAGGGGCTGCGCAGGAGGTGGTCCCTGAGCGCGGCCGCTATGCACGACGGTTGTCCAGGGCGTAGCAGGCGTGGCATTTTCTCGACGCCCGACGGGGTGCGCAGGGGGTGGTCCCTCACCGCGGCCGCTATGCGCGCCAGTCGTCCAGGGCATAGCAGGCGTGGCACTTTCTCGACACCATAGAGGGTGCGCAGGGGGTGGTCCCTCACCGCGGCCACCATGCACGACGGTCGTCCAGGGCATAGCAAACGTGGCGCTTTCTCGACGCTAGACGGGGTGCGCAGGCTGTGGTCCCTCACAGCGGCCGCTATGCGCGCCGGTCGTCCAGGTCACCGGGCTCGCAAAGTGTGGCTGGCGCGGCGCTTCTCCTCTTCCACCTCTCCTCTTGAGTGGCGTCACCAACGGTATCGGCGGGGCAACGGCCACCAACATCATTCTCACATGCTTCATTTCAGCTATCATCACTCCAGCCATAATATAAGTATGTGGGGTTCCTCGGCAGCGTAATTGCATTTTGATGAAATCGCTTGTTTCCCCAACCGAATCTCGAGGAGATCTCTCTGGACGCACGGCGCGACACGCCGCGCCCGCGAGGCGGGAGCACGCGAGGTGGCCGCGCCCGATCTGCTTCACAGATTGGCGCACCCTCGAGGCGAGAACAACGCTTGCAGAGGACGCCTAGAAAGCCTCCGTGCGAGCGAGCCCGCGTGGGCTGTCCCCGTTCTTCCTCCTCCTCCTCTTCTTTTTCCTCCTCCTCGTCCTCCTCCTCCTCCTTCCTCCTTTTCCTCCCCTTCCGTTGCCACTTTGGCTCAAGGGCTTATGCGTACCTTGAGCGGGCAGCTCAGCCCCTCCCGCGGGCATTTCCAGCTGTCGAAGACTGGCGGACATCTCTCTGCAGTCTCCCACTCGTGGCGCCGACTCGTTCCACGTCCCCTCGTCCCAGGAGGGCTCCGCCATTGCCGCAGCTATGGAGGAGATGCCGACCTTCCCCGACGCCGTGGGCCCCCCTCCGTCCTCGGGCAAAGGCAAGGGCGCAGGCGTTCGCTGTGGGGCGCGGAAGCGCCATGCTAGTGCTGCTCCTCGCGACGGTGCTGCTCCAGACGACGAGCCTGAGGAACGCTACTCCGACGACTTCCTTCGCCAACTCTGCCGTGAAGAGTTTGCGTCAATGCGATCCACCATCACGGAGGAGGTCAGCGCCACCGTCGCCAAGACAGCCGGCACGGATCACTCCGCCCTTCTGTCCATGTTGTCCAAGATGCAGGATGAGGTCGCGAAGCAGGCCTCCTCCATCCAGCAGCAGGTCCAGTCCGCCGTCGAGCCCCGCATTGACGGCCTCACCAGGCGCCTTCAGAAGCAGTTGGATGACCACTCTGCCCGCGTCGCCGCCACTTCGGAGCGCGTCGACCGCCGTGATGAGGCTATTGACCAACTTCGGGAGCAAGTTGCTGAACTTCGTCGTCAGCTGGCCTTGGCGGCGTCCGGTTCCCCTCGGACCCTGCCGCCGCCGCCTGACTCTTTCGACCGCGCGCCCAACGCCACCATCATGGTTGCAGCCTCCCAGAAGCCCGCCACACTCGTCGCCAGCGTCGACGCCGTGGTGCGGCCATGGCTCGCCAGCGTCGGTTTCAACGATGGCGACTTCTCTGTCATCCAGATGGGCGAGGCGCTTGCTCGCCGCTTCGAGATCCACTTCTCTGGTCCTGCGGCCGCCGCTGCCCGCAAGGTGGCGCTCGCGGTCTCCAAGCTCAGGGATGCGAATGGCTGGCGTGAGTTCTGGGTTGAGCCGCCTGGCTCGGACAAGTGCCGACTTCACATGGGCCCTGATAGGTCTTCCAAGCAGATCGAGGTTGAGGTCGCGCTTCGCGAGGTCAGGCAGATCGTGGACACCAAGTTCCCTGGCAAGCGCCTCTTCTTGTACCGCGAGCGCGGCGTGCTGTCCACCGGGTGGGGCAGGGTCCTCCAGGTCGAGGTCGCCCACGGCGACCCCCCCAGGATCTACTTCGACGCTCAGCAGCTGCTCAAGCACCAGGTCGAGGTCGCTGCCCTGC